TGGATGAACTTAAATCGTTATTATATGCAAAATTGATGACATCTCAAAATCCAGACGCTGAAGATGCAGATTTGGTCGGTCTCTTACGTCAACAGTTAGATATTAACCCTTTTGTTCGAGCCTTTGAGTTTTTGGCTTTTCAAGATGTGGTTACTTCTAGCTTCTCCAAAGTTAGTAAGTTAATCACATCCAATACCCAAGATCTAAAAAGTTCAATGGATGCCCTAGCTGAACGGGTGTCTACCTTAGAAGAAACTTGCAGGTCTCAGGCCATCTCTCTCAAACGAAGGCATGACGATCAGGATGATCCAGATAGTCATGAGGGGGAGAGAAAGAGATAGAGATTGGTCGAGTCATCTAAGCAAGGTGCAAGGGTTGGAGAGGAGCCATCAACTCAGGATGTTATTGCTGAAACCTCTGCCCCGAAATCTATTCGGGAAAGAGTAATTGAGGCCATTGTAATTGAAGATGAAGAAATGGAGACAAGTCCTATGATCGAGCCAATGGTTGAAAAGTCGGCGGACTCCACGGTAGGAACAAGGATGTTATTGGGCTTGTCTGCCAACGTAGGTTTCAACTATGTGTTCTCTACTACTCAGGGTGGAGAGCAAGATTTTGGAGAAGACATTGACAACATTGATTAGTCGACTGGGATCTATTTTGATTTTGAAGCTGATATAGATGATGAAGATCCAGTCTTTCCTTTTCAAAGTGACCATCAGACTGTTCCAGAATATTCCACTGCACTTTTACCTGATATGTCAGACATCCCTGCTCAAAGAGAACAAGTTGATCCTAATGAAATCTTCACCAGAGATTATGTGCCATTCCATATCAGAGCAAATTTTCCTGGTTATGATCGAGCAAGAATCCAAGAGCCATATTTAGAAGATGTCTACTTTAGAATTTTCATCCAACATCGAAAAGCTCTGAGCGGTGATAAAGTTCTTGGCATTCATCGTCAGAACAAAGATTACCGCATTGAATACAGACATCTTTTGAAAGCCAAGTGCCTACCAATAAGTGAAGTGCGTACCAAGCATGGGATTGTAACGATTAAACAAATTGATGCTCAAAAGCTTTTAAGAATCTGGTATCCTGTATTTACAGTTACTAGGCAGGATGGTCAGATTTGGAGGTTCAGTGAAGCAGATTTTTCAAACTTATATTTGGATGATCTTGAATACATGTACTTTGAACTCAGAAACATGACGAACAGAAAGGAAGGAGAACTGATTGTTCTTGAGGCTATCAAGAGATTTATGCGTTGTCATGTGAAGCTGGCAATGGTCATTGATGTTCAAATGGGCCTTGAAGACAATCAACGGATCATCAATCTGAAAAGACCAAATCAAGAATTAGAAGATATTGATGTTTATCCTGTCTATTTGATTCTTGAGAAGCCAGATTTCGGGGTCATCTACTTTGCTCAACTTCAAGTAAATAAATTCATGAGATTTAGTGAGCTGAATAAATATTCTGGTGGTACGATAAGATTAGTGAGAAGGGCACTTGACTTGAAAAGGGTAAACAATGACAGAGCTGCTGAATCAGAAAGGATGAGTTCCAAGGAAAGATATTTGTTGGTGTTGATCCCAGATCTCTCTATAACACTTATAATTTAGTTATGAATAACCAAATTATAATTATTTTATGAAGAAAGTTAAGAAGACTCAAAATTAATATATGAATATTAAAGAACAATTTGAGCTTCAAAGGTTTTACTTTATTGA